GCTCCCAGCCGGTCCAGTTGTCTGCTAGCCAGGGATTTGGTGCTTTCCCAGCTCGCCAGGTTCGGGTTCTTAGTGAACTGGAGGAAGTCCCATCTGGTTCTCTTCCAGGCTCGGTCGTGGCTGGGTCTTGTGTGGGGACTCTCGAACCACTTCCTTGTCTCTTCCTCCAGAGTCTCTCCTCCGGCTGCGGTCTCGCTTGCGCCTGTTTCTAAGGGGGCTCCCAGGTCCTCGGCGGTTGCTCGAGGGTTTGTGTGGGAGCCTGAACTTCGCGATGATGGTCTATCCGCCAGGTCGTATTTGGCATCGTCGGCTGTTCTGGTTCCTTCGGGGACGTCCCTTACGCCTTTTTCGTGATTGCTGGGTTTGACCCCTGGGGGCTTTGTGTCGACTGCTGTGTCGCCGGCTTCCTCTTCGGGTTTTTCGGGGTTTGATGCCTTGGTGCCTGTCCGAGCCCTCGTTTGATGTGTTCCCGGACATTTCGTCTCTCGGTTTGGGCTTTGTGACCAGTGCTCACCAGGCTGGCCAGGGGCAGTGGGGTTCGTCCTTCCATCGAGCCCACAGCATGGTGCGGGAGTTAGCGGCAGTGTGGTTTGCGCTTCGGAGGATTCGGGTCGCTCGCGGATCGATGATCCGGCTCTATTCAGACTTCTCCCCGGTGGTTCATTGCCTGAACCGAGGGGGTTTGATGCGGTGCTTGGCTCTTTGATGCTGGTCGCTTCAGGTGACTCGTCTGCTGAGTTCTCAGGGTTTGGCTCTCCTGACTGTTCATGTGAGGGGAGTGTCCAACGTCTTGGCCGACGGCCTGTCTCGTTTCGTTCCCCTCGTTTGGCTCTCCTGACTGTTCATGTGAGGGGAGTGTCCAACGTCTTGGCCGACGGCCTGTCTCGTTTCGTTCCCCTCTCCACGGAATGGATGTTCGACGCCCACTCCTTTCGTTGGCTCTTCCAGATGTTCAGGCATCCCGAGGTGGATCTCTTTGCATCAGCGTGGTCACAGCGCCTACGTGTGTGTATGTAACGCCCTTCCTCGATTGCGGGGCCGTTGGGGTCGATGCCTTTCGGCAGGACTGGTCAAGGTGGGGGTTCCTGTACCTCTTTCCCCTGGTTCAGCTGTTGCTCCAGGTCCTGACTCGCTGGGAGACCTACCAGGGGAGAGCAGTCCTCTTGGCCTTGTGGTGGCCGGCCCAGCCATGGTTTCAGGCGCTGCTTGCTCGGTGTCCGAACCTGGAAGTTTTTTCCCACGGCTCCGCCTCTTCCAACAGGTCGGCCTGGTGAGTCACGTGGCTGGTTCGATCTTCTCCTTGAGTCTTCGCGTTTGGTCTTTTTGACTCGGGTTTATCATCATCTCTATGGTGTTCAGGTGGCTTCTTTGTTGGTGTCCCACTTGCGGGCTTCGTCTCGGCGGCAGTATGAAGTCTCCTGTCGTTCCTTCCGGTTCTTTGTACGTCTTCGTCGTTGTACTTCGCCTTCTGTTTGGGTGGTGTTGTCCTTTCTCTCTTGGTTGTTCCAGGACCGTCACCTTATGCCTAACACTATCGCCTCGTATCGTGCGGCATTGGTGGAGCCACTTCAGCTTGCTTTAGGTGTTGATGTTACTTCTGTGCCGTTTTGCAAGCTGTCTCGGGCATTGTTTCACCTCCGGCCTGCTCATGCTCTGCCTGAGCCGTCCGGATCTTTGGGCGGAGTGCTCTCTTTTCTTCCTTCTCCTCAGTTTCTTGTGGCATCTTCGGTTCAGGATTGTTTCTCCAAGGCTCTTTTTCTGTTGGCATTGGCCTCTGGGGGTCGGGTTGGGAGCTTCATGCTCTCCTTCGGTCTTTGTGATGGTTTTGTTCGTTTGCAGCCGTCTCCTTCTTTTCTGGTGTAGATTGAGACTGCTGCTTTCCAGAGGGGTCCTTGGGTTGTTGATGCTTGGTTGGTCAGACTAGGGGTGCATCATGTTTTGTGTTTGGTTGCAGCTCTTCGCCGTTATTTGCGCACCACGGCTTCTGTGTCAGGGGATGCGCTTTGGGTTGAGCCTGTTTCCCTTTTCTTCCCTGTTCGTGGTTGCGGGTCTTCCAGGTCATCCGCAGAGTTATTAAGGCTAGCCAGCCTGCGGTCTATCCCCATGCCCATGATGTTCGTAAGTTTGCTTCTCTTGCTGCCATCTTTTGCAACATGTCCTGAGCTGACATTCAGGCACAGAGCTTTTGGCAGTTGAACAGGGTCCTGGCTGCTCGTTACCTAGTGAACGTCCCTGGGCCTCGTCGGCCTGTGTTGCTTTGGGTCGGCGGGTGTAGCCAATTGTCTCTACTTTGAGTTGAGGAGGGAGCAGCGACCGCCTCCCGGGTAAGTCCCTATGTTTTTCCTCTATGGGTAGTTAACTCCAGGGAGCCAAAGGGGCTTCCCCCAGAAAACCAGCATTAATATGTAATGAAATGCCATTTTCTGGGTGAGACCCAGAGCCTCCCCGGCATCCCTCCCATCCGCTGGTCGGCGGTTTTTCGCGTGTTTTGACATCCAGCCTCAGAACTGACGGGTGGATAGCTGACATGGGGGGTCTGGGGCTGCACAGACATCAGCGCGGCGACGTATGACGTCATGCTCACTGGCTCGTTTCTTTTAAGGGAGTTCTATCCACTTGTTCGGCTTTTGGTAGCAATATTTTCACCAGAATAGGGGTTTGTTTTGGGATGCTTACCTTTCTGGGTGCCTGACCCGGTTGATGGCAGACATCTATCTTGAGGTTATCTTGAGATGATTTCGGGGCTTAGCGTCCCCACGGCCTGGTCCTCGACTAGGCCTCCTTTTTGTTACACATCCCCAGGAAGCAGCCCGTAGCAGCTATCTAACTACCAGGTAAATATTTACTGCTAGGTGAACAGGGGCATCAGGGTGAAAGAAACATTTTGCCCATTTGTCTCCACCTCCACCGGGGATCGAACCCGGAACCTCAGGACTACGAATCCGAAGCGCTGTCCATTCAGCTGTCAGGTGCCCATGAATGCTTTCAAGCACATGGGGGTTTCTATAGGCCATTGCTCCCCATGCCTCTCTTAGGGGGCCAGGTTCTAGCTCATGGTCCCTGGTAGGCCCACAGAATTCCATACACATGATTGATGCCAAAGTCTGACATTAGCATATCAGCCTAGTAAATTCCGGGGAGCCTTCGGGTCTTATCCAGAAAATGGTGTTTCATTATATTCAACGCTGGTTTTTTGTGTTAATTAATATTGGTTGTATATATCATTTGTGAAGACTCTATGAAGATCTTCAACTTTCACATTGTTTATTGGAGGCACAAAACAGCTTCATAATATTCTTTCAGGGTTTCCATATTTTTTGTCAATTTGAATAACAATGAGAGCAGAGAACAGCCACAACCTGCCTTTCATACAGGCTACAACACAAACACCATAGGAAGTCAATCACAAAAATCAGTCAGAGTGCCTTAAAGAGTTTGAGTACCTATGGAAGCTGATCCTCTGAGACAAATGAATGATCAGAAAGTGAACCAGGCTGGGGCAACAAGCATGAATTGCTAGCAACCAGGATAAAATGGGCCACCTTGGAACCAACCAAATAACGTGACCTACAAAGTTTTCCAACTTTGATAAGGCAGTTTATTTTGCAAAACAAATAAATATTATATATCTGTAGTTTTCATCAAGACAGAGCCCATTACACACAGAAATCACAATTACGTGATGCATCAAATGAACAAATCCACAAGGGCTGTGACGAGGATTCGAACCTGCGTCCAAGAGCATCCCAGACGCTGCCTTAATTGACTGAGCAACGACATGGTCAGGAGGAGTTGAAACCGAAGTTCTACTGAACTTACTGGATCCTGCAGCCTCTCCGAGGCACAAACCTGGGTTTTACACAACTTCCCCATGCACTCAAGCTATGTCAATAGGCCGTTCTCCCTCTTCGCCCTTACTTCATTACACACAGAAATCACCCTTGTGGATTTGTTCATTTGATGCATCACGCAATTGTGATTTCTTGTGTAATGAAGTAAGGGCGAAGAGGGAGAACGGCCTATTGACATAGCTCGAGTGCATGGGGAGAGTTGTGTAAAACCCTGGTTTGTGCCTCGGAGAGACTGCAGGATCCAGTAAGTTCAGTAGAACTTTGGTTTCAACTCCTTTTGACCATGTCGTAGCTCAGTCGATTAAGGCAGCGTCTGGGATGCTCTCGGACGCTGGTTCGAATCCTCGTCACGGCCCTTGTGGATTTGTTCATTTGACAGAGCCCATCTAATGCAAGTGCATACTGATATGTGAGTGGAGCCACATACACAGGAAGCCTGTGGTTCCATCCAGAGATGAACGAGTCCACCAGTGGATTGCTGAATGTGCTGCATGCACACAGAAAGTAGGCCTCACCTCTGACCCTATTCTGTCCCAATTACACAAAACTGAGAAAGGCCAACTACAAAAACATTCAAAACTTCCCATATATGAAATGATGTAAAGACTATATCCCAATAAGTCATACGTATGACAGTGGCTGAGACCAGCAATTATTTTGGTGTACGTATGCTGTCTGGTGGAATTTTTCTTGATTTTGGGTTGAGCTCCGATTCTCAAGATCCCTTAACCTCAAAGAGAGAGAACCAGATCCTGTTGCAGGCTCTTGATAAGCATGGGTGGGTGTCGGAGGCCTGATGCATCTCCAAAGGCTCGGCTAAACCAGCACTTAGCTTGAGGAGCTACTGAGAATACCACCAGAAAAGGGCATTTCAATAAATTCATCATTTATTTTGATGTAATATCATTTTTGGTTGTTGAATGTGTACGATTTATCCAGTAAGATCCATAGCTCGGTTTTTCCCCGAGCCATTTTAATGCAAGACATTCCTACGTAATATTATAAGTATTAATACTGTAATTATTGCTCAAGTAGATATTTGTTAAGACTGTAAAGCATTTACTGTACAGTATTATGCTTCTTATGTATTCACTTATTTTCTAAAATATCTTTGAGACACTTGTCTTCTCACTGGTTTCTTTCAATTAGGCGAGAGATTACGTCGACTGCCTCAGTGTTTGGTAGGTTATGAAAAAGTATTAGTGACACCATGGGGCCATGATCCAACTGTAGTTCCACTTGCTGCACTCTTTACCACTGTCAATGAGGCCCTTATGCACTCACCAGTATTCATTCAGGTTAGTAGTGAATCTTTTTTTTTCAATTGTATTGTGTATTCTGTCATTACTTTGTTTAAATTATAGGAAACTAGAGTATTGTATTTACAGACATATTAGCCTAATTAATGTATCTTGATTACAGTTACTGTATAACTTGAAGGTATTTGGCTCACACAGTTTACATGTGGTTAAATAAAGCATTGAGTGTAATGAAATGCCCCATTTTGGGTGACATCACAGTAGCTCCCCTTAGTTTAACCCTTCAACTGCACCGCCTCCAAATATGACACCCCCCCAGTGCGCAGAAAATCAATCTTTTGTTTTTTTAAAAGTGTCAAAAACCCTTCCCTCAGTATGGGTATGTCAAAAAATATTCGAAATTTTACTTACTTTGGCTGCTATGGGGTCCGTAAGTTGGCGCATGACGTCATCATTCCCCGTTTGCCCGTGACGTACACTCCCAGGGCCAGTAGGGCGCCCGGGGTGGGGCGGGCGAGTTGCCGCGAATATATTTTTGTTCATTTTTTGCGCACAGTTCCAAATATATTTTATTTGTTTTTACATGCTAATCCTATGTATAGTGAACACGTACACTATATTATGACAGTAAAACATCCGTACTGTGCGAGGACACTGTGTTACATGCATGACACTTGTGTACACATATGTTGCACATATTTGCCATGTATCATGCAAATTTATGTATATATACAATCTATTTACAGACTATACACTGTCACACACTATATACATTCACCATCAACACATTCTGAACACTGCGAGTGTGAGCTGTCACACCCAGTCAGCCCTCCCTCACTCCTCCAACACTGTATTCGCCAACATTACTCTTCCCATCATACAGTTATTCACACCAATGTTTCATGTTCATTTATGTATATTTACAACATATGTACACACTATACACTGTCACACACTATATACATTTACCATCAACACATTCAGAACATCGCGAGTGTGAGCAGCGACACACAGACAGGCCCTTCCTCACTCCAACATCTTACTCGCCAACATTGCTCCTCCCACCATACTGTTATTATTTATATTACACTATTTACACATGTTATATATACCTATCTATATGTTTTATTTACCAGAACTATGCAAGTAAGCCAGTATTGTGTCCAAACAGTACAGTGGCCACCATACACTGCATGAGAAATCACACAGCAGATAGCAAATGACGCTACGATTACGACATCACCTCCCTCACCAAAATAGCTCCACTCAACATACTCTTGTTGCTGTTATTACACTATATATATATACACACACACACACACTGTATATACCCATGTGCATGTATGTTCCCCATAGCGAACTACGAAGCTAGTATGGTGAGCAAAACAAGAGTGGCTGCCACACAGTGAGGCTACCTCAATTCTCTCCCTTCCTCCCTCCCTCACCAAAATTCCTCCTTCCACAATACTATGCACAACGCTACTTATAACCACAATCTTGGTCACTAATTCTTGTAAATGAATAATTGACCACAAGTTTATTTTGAAAAGGAACCTAAGAAGTCGTTTGAAGATTCCTAGATGGACAAAATAATGCTGTGGTGCTGTGGCTAGCGCTGTGAACATTGTGAACAGCATTGAATCACTGATATTTGAACATTGTACCCAGTCATTATCACACTCGGGCTCTTCTATAATACTAGCATGGCTAAATAATACAGGTTATATACTGTATATATTTTGACATTATTAGGCGATGCTGTGGTCACACGCTGAACAGCAGTGCTGTGCACTCATGCTGCGAGCGCCATCCTTGGTTGCTCACTTACTACTGAGGCTCTCACACCCGGGAATGTGAACCATGATATTTTGTAAAGATGGCGTCTGTTTACAAGAGCCCTGAGGAAGCTGATGTGAACCCCATGTAGCCGCGGGAGTTTTGAATGGAATGTGAAAAATACAAATACCTGGAAGCGCGTAGCGCACCCCAGATGTGGGCCTGCAGGCACGTTGCGCAGTTAAAGGGTTAAGCACTGGCAACATAGGGTCATAATTGACATGCTAAGATTCTGTGACAATCTCTGCCCACTGGGAAAAAGTACTATATCTCATTGACTTGGGAGTGGGAAGTGAGTAGGGGTCAAAGATCAACCCACTACTGAGGCAAACTGTTCTTAAAATTTAAGAAGTTATAAAATGCCCAAAACGAACTTCAAGAATGGTAATTAGATAACTACAAATCATAGCTCATGAAAACAATCACAACATTTTCCCTATGCTCCACTTGGTGGCAGGCCAAACCTCTCGGGACTCTTAGTTTCCTGTTTGTGTCTCGTTTCTGTAGAAAATATGTTTTTGTGTAATGATGGGACTCTGTCATGAGGAAGCTAAGGGAGCTACTGAAATGCCACCTAGAAGATGGTGTTTCATTACACTGAAAACGTTTTCTACAAAAACAAGACACCTGAACAAAAAACAAGATACTGTATTAGAAAATAGCGGTGTTAACCATGTGAGTAAAAAGGTCAGGATAACTGGATACAGGGGAGAAACCACAACCATGTGGAAGATGCCTGCTGCAATGGGCTTTACCAGGAAGGAAATTGCTGCTCAACCAAAAAATTGACAGATGCCCCAAGTCTGGATTTGAAATATTGATTAAAAGAGGAGAGAAAATGTTTCCTGGACTTCATACTGATGGAGATCAGGACACAGGGGAAACAGGGATATACTGAAAAGGTAACATGAAATGAAGAAAATGAGAGAGAACTGTGCCATGTCACAAGGCAACAAGACTAGGAACTAGAAAGAACAACACCACCCAAGAATCCTGTGGTGCCAGCAAAAGCCACAGCCTACTGGTAGAAAATGAGACCCACACCAAAGAGAACAAAGCAGGCTTCATGATGAGAGAGGGCAGGGGGGACCATGCCTGACCAAGATGGAAGATACCTGCGATAACAAAGACCTAACCCAGGAGTGAGACTTGGGAAGCAGTGCATAGATTCAGAAGTACTGAAAGAAGAGTACTGATGAAAAAAGTGGAAAATGCAAGCAAGAAAGGCCCCACTAATAATAATAAATGGCAAGAGATAACAGTCTGAGGCAACAAATGTTACCTATAAGGAGTCATGGTAAAGAATAACACAAGTGTCCACTTGAGAAGAGGTGGGATGAAGGGGTCAGGCAAGTTAGGGTGAAGCACACAGCAACATCATGTAACATCTTTGAAGACTGCCTCGAAGAAACCTTAGAAAAACATCTACACAAAGATCAGTGCAGATTCTTATGCCACTAAGAGAGATCTGACTGCTGAACAATAGGGAGAGACTGAGCTTTGAGAATGCCACTAGACAAAAGGCAACAGAAAAGAAATGACATAAACTGTGGTTGAATGGACCACATGGAACAAAGAGAACAACATAGCCTGCACAACCTCCAGTATGAGTTGCATAAAGAAATGAACTCAAACTTGGGAAAAGGAGAAGAGGAAACCAGGCCTGATAAAAGACATTCACAAAAAATGCTCCATGAACCAAGAGATAAAGCTATATAACCAAAAGTATTTGCTAATCTGCTAATGCTAACAAAGTTCACAGTGGATACCCGAATGTCACTTATGTCTATAGAAAAGATGGCTCGCCTACTGTCTGCCCCAACAAATGAGGATGAACATGAGAAGTTAGTGGACCACAGTTTCCTCGTTAAAGAGGCACCGAAGGTCATCCAGACATGGGTCAGGGCTGCTTATACCTTAGATGTTGTGCTTCAGAAAGATAATGTGCTGCTCCAGTAGCAGGTTTATTATTATACCAAGCCCAAAACCTCTCCAATGTCCACGAATATGATTAAATCCATCAATTGTTGACAGGAGAGAAGGATGAAGTCCAAAAAAAGCCTTCTACAGAGTTCACCTGCATAGCTGGAGACCAGGTGGATCCATCTCTGAACATAGAAGGAGCTATCAGGAGTCAATCCAAATGGAACAAAAAAACCAAAACCTTGCTGGTGACAGATACCTGGAGTGTGTTTCAAGAGTTCTTCTGCTCCCCGAGCTAGGCCTCGACTTGTGATAGCTTGGTCCAACAGGCTGTTGCTTGGAGTGACCCGCAGGGTCACATATCCACTACAGCCTGGTTGGTTCATCACTTCTTGCAAGAACCTGCAGCATGTCCTGCAGCACATCAAGGAAACAGGGATATGCACCCAGTGGTAGGGAAACTTGCCTGACAAGGCATGAAACGGACCCTTTGGACTAGGGTACTCGTCTATTGGTCAAAAAATACTTGCCCTATTGCCCTGGATACATGCCTGGCCGGCTGAAATAAACATTTGGTGGGCTAGGGCCCTCGTCCAGCAGGCCATGCATGCATCCAGCAATCCAGACACAAACTGTTGAAAGACCAGGAAAACAATCCATCCTAAAAAGCCAGGCTCTGAACTCACTGAGGGAGACATCACAATTTAACCAGCAGTGAAAATGAAATAAACACAACCTCCCTGAAGCATGGGTATTGGGCTGTCCCCACTGACACTTGTTGAGCCAGGCTGTCAACAGTGAGAGAATACAAACTTGGCTATTGAACATGTCTGTCGCGCCCTGTGGTGCCAGTGCCTGCAGCTCGGGAAGCTTCTGATGGGACTTACCCAAAAACAAGGTTTGTATTCCCTGTAGGTAATATGACCATAACAGATCGGTTAGTGAAGTGTGAAATTTAAAAAACAATTATTATGTTTAGTTAGAATGAAAGGATTAATTACAACAAAAAAGTTTCCATAACAGCATTAATGTTTTTTCAGGCATATGGTTGGTATCATGATGTCTGCATCCAGCATATTCCATTCCCCTTGGAAAGTTCCAGTAAGTATTTTGTGTCAAAAAACTCTTTCAAGTCAACCATGTCTTAACACTTTCTCGTCTCCACCCCGTGTTCCCTAGACTACCTCAAGGTGTGTCAAGTGTTGGCCGTGAATGCATGGGCATACTCAAATATGTATACTCTTTTAAGTTTTCTCACGTCAATGTTCGTCTTACGAGGTTAATTTTGGTATCTTTTCGCTCGCAATAGAATTCCCTACCGGGATATGTACATATGAAGTTCAAAAGCTCGGTGTGCCACCCGCACCAAACTCACAAATCGACCGAGGGTTACCCGTGAGTGCGCAACACCACCAAAGTGTGTCTACTGTTTGTGGGATTGTCACTTCAATTCTCATCCTTCGTCATTCAATATGGTATAAATTAGTTCACAATAGAATTCCTTGCAGGGGTATATTCATATAAAGCCCAAAATCCCAGCACACCCCCATCTCCCCCACAGCAAAGGTGAAAGTCAGCCAAGTGTTAACCATGAGCGAACATGCATTTGCACACCCACAACACCTGCACACAAATGTGTATAATCTTTTTAGTTTGATAATGTCAATTTTCTTGTTAGGCCTTTCATTTTGGCATCAATTTGTTTGCAATAGAAAGCTGTACAGGGGAAAAAAAGGCTGTACTTACCACCCAATGATGTTTGTAGAGCATGAGTTGAGCATTAGGCTGAACCACTCTACCTGCTCCAGGAAACTGTTTCCTGAAGTTGCTCAACCGATGTTTTATAGGTGGAGTGGATGGTGGGGAAGCATTACTGCTTATCCACCCAGTATGTTCTCTTGCGATGGTACAAGCCAGAGCATGGTGCAGCACACAGTGCCACTTCACATGACTTGCACTTATATTTGGTGTCCTACCTTTTACCATTTCTGAAGCAAACATGACACTTCAACCCTTTCTGGATGTGAAATAAGGAACGGTTCTATTTGTTGATCAGACGTTCTGGTTTATCAACAATACGAAGGTTTCTCCTCGCTTTAGCTCCAGAAGGAATAATCTGACTCGTCTTCTGAGTTAGATGATGAATTGTCATGTCGAGGTGAAGATGGGAATGGTGGCTGCCTCACATACTATGGTCCGGGTGTAATAAATAAGTCAAAATCCCAGAGGAATGATTGGTACTAGTACAGTCAAGCCTGGTGTTCCAGTAAAACTATCTACACATGGTGGAGTGTTGTCAGTTGACCTGGCTTCACCAGAACGTTTGTGTTTCCTACATATGGTGCATCCACATGTGGCGGTAGGGGGCTCAAAATCAGCACTCCCCTCACTTTCAAGTTCATCCTCACTTGCTGTTTTAGTTTCAACAAACTCACTATCTACATCACTGTCACTTTCGTCACTTTCATCTTCAAAATCAGAAAAATTGCCAACTATAGCCTGTATTTTTGTTGGGGTTAGTTTCACAGCCCTGTATTTTTGGTGAACCTTGATGCCACATAGCCCCTAACAGAAAATGGGAAGACATTAGCACAAACTTTAAAAGACGTCCCAAAATGATCGGATTAAAAATGTAATTTTAACAAATATATTAAAATCGCACGTCGTAGACGTCCCTCCTGAACATCCTCCTAAACATTAATTATGAACGTTGTACATTATATGTCCCTCCCGAACGAGAGTGTTAAAAATTAATTGACTTGTGGTCTGCCAGGAGCAGTACCCGCCAGTGCCCGGGACAATCTCTCTCACCCATTCCACTCCTCTTCTTGTCCCCTCTTTCCTCCCCCTCCACTTTCTTTTCCATCCCTTCTCCCTCTCATCCCATATTCCCCCCCCCCCACACCAAAAAAAATAATACACATCTCCCTACCCTCCCCCCTCTCCCTTTCCTTCTCCCTCCCAACCTCAGACACAGACATCTCCATTTATATATAGAAGGGGTACCCAGGTCTCTTCCTCCCCTCTTCACTCCCTCTCCCTCCCCTCTTCACTCCCTCTCCCTCATTACCACTCGTCCCCATTCCCATGGATAATCACGAAACTTGGGTCTTTGTTATCCCTCCAGTTGTCTGTAGAGCTTCTCTGACTTTCTAGATGGTTTCCCAGTGTGTGGTGGTGAATTGTCTCACTCTCTGCACCTCTACGAGGGGGACAGGATTTGGCTCAGATCCCCAGTAGGCCAAACAGAACTGCCATGTCTGATGTGACTCATTTGCTGGGAGCAACCAGGGCTCATCCAGAAAGAGGCATTTAATTGCATTCAATGCTGATTGTTCTTTTTATAGAATGCTTGATTTGAGATTATTGATAATATATACATTAGAGAACTAAAGTTAAGGAATGCAATAGACAACAACAAAATTTAACTGATGCATTCTTATGCAATATTGACGTGTGAACGTGCACTAATAAAATGTATCGATTGTTTTCTTGCAGAAATAGTAAATCATCCAGCTGTTCAGGTGTTGGCAAAACAACTGGACCTCCAGCATACTTTTGGATTTATCAAACTGGTGGCTTTCCCTTCTGTGGACACTCCAGGCCTGACCTCTCTCACTGCAGCTGAGATTACCACTGGCATGCCACAGGGGGCCACAAGCACCCCTCACAAATCATTCATTGCCAACTCCTCTGCCATCACCAGTAACAGTGAAGGATGCAACAAGACGGCGATTGGTAATGCATCAGACGATAGCGCCATTTTTAATTGCTTTACTCTTGATTCTGGCCTCTCTGACAACAATGCAGACACAAGCAGTGCTTCCATTCCTCAGGTGGTCAGCTTCGATGATGTCTCCAGTATTGTTCTAGACAAACCGGGGAACTTGAATATTCAGAGGTAAGGAGAAACTAATTTTGTACAAATTATATTGGTATTAAGTAAAAATGGTACTCTTGTAAGCATCTGTTGGAAAATATCTCATAACCAGTGATAATATATCCCAGCTCTGTGTTTTTTCTTTTCTCTACTTCTTCCATCCAGGGTGTTGATTCATCTCCTGTCTCCTCTAATTCCTTTTCTTACCCTCCTTATATAGTGTGTTTATTATCTACTCTCTATGTCCAGATCATCTTAAGAGTATTTCTTTCATTCTTCAGTGTGATCTCTGCAGCTCAAAAGTTGATCTTTTTCTGCTGTTTAGACTTGTCTATTTATTCCCAGTAGGAATACCTGAAGTTATTTACAGGATTCTTTGGAAGGGACCCCTCCACAACTCCCAGAGCATGCCTCTGGTACTTCCAAGTAAATAAGTAATTATCAAAAGAAGGTAGCCAAGCTGGGAAGACTTGTGTAGCAATGGTACTGCCAAACCATAGCCCAAAGCCCAACCTCTGAGATCTGTCTGACATGAGGCCATGGAGAGCAGGCAATTATAAATCATCCATAAAACTGGGGAAAACCTCCTCAAGGAGCATTTAGGCATCAGGTGGCAGGCTTGATCACCGGCAGTCTCGGCAAGCTTACTCCTTCCCTCTTGCACCCAGTACTGCCTGTCCACCATCTGTAACTTCTGCTACGCCAATCATCCGCTTATCCTTTTTGGCTAAGTAGTGTTGGCTTTTTCTGGAATATTATGTTCCTCTGGGGGGACATTGTTTTGCTATTTGTTTATGCTTCATGATTGTATTTATGCCACCTACATTTTGTGTACTGTACCATTCCATTTTGCTCTGACCATGGCTATGGTTCCCTTCCAAGGAGTTGGCTTGTATGTCCCTTTACCCTACTAGAGATACTTGCTCTGAAGAGGTTGAAGGCTCTTGTTTATTAGTAAAAAAAAGTTTTCTTAGCTTTGGAAAAAAAGTCAAGCTTTTCTGTTGGGAGCCCCGTCGGCTCCCTGAAGCTATCCAAACTGATATGTGCTATATTAGTTTGGGGTCATCAGTCACAGGAGTTCTTATGCCTACCAGGAACCACGAGCCAGAACCTGGTCCCCTCAGAGAGGCACATTTAGCAACGGCCTATGCGCTCCTTACATTTAAAGTACTGTATGTCATAATTGCCATTGACCGGAGAAGGACCCAGAAAGATAGGTGAATCAAAACAGACCACTGTCTGGTTAACCTGTGCAAACTACATCTGAAAAGATTAAAATAACTCTCCTAGAAAGAAACCCAACAAGCTACACTTCATGTAACTAGCACTCCCGCTCTGGAGAGGAAGCCGGTAGCCCATCACTCCAGTTCTTGAACTACTGGAGGTCAGATCAGTCACCTCTGGCTTCAAGTTCCTGTTCTAGATTTTTGCCCTGTGTGGCTGTTCGAGCTGTGTGGTGGCCTGGTGTCTTAGTGTACAGGAGCAGCATGTGCCTAGGTGCTCCGTGAGTACTGCCCTTGGGTGTCACAGTTATTTTCCCTGTGGTATTTGGGACTCGCTCCCCGTTGAGGACTTCCTTGCTTGAGGTTTTCTTTGCCCTTGGTGTGCGTCGAAGGTCTTGGGGCTTTCCGTCTGCCCATAGGAGGATGTTTTTGACTGAGGTTAGCTCAGTTAAGCTAGTTCAGCCAGCTTTACTTTTAACGTGGCGGGCGATGTTTCTCTCTGACTTTTACTTTGCTTGTTGTGTGATTTCGGGGATTTTGTTTTTCATTTTCTGGTGTTTTTGCCGGTGTGCACAGAGGAGGTCTGCTTAGCTACTTATTAGATTCGCCTAGGTTGTGCTGGTGGTTCTCCTCTGTTGCCCTCAAGGTTTCATGGCAGCTATTGGTAGTCGGTTTGCCTGCTATAGACAAGGTTCTACTGGCTTAGCTGGCCCCAGTGCCTGGGCTTCCTATAGGGCTTATTCCCTTTATGGGTCCCTGGAAAACTCCTGTGGGCTCGGTCATACCGTGGATACTTCTTCCGAGTCCACTCTCAACCTGTGTGAAGTTGAAGGTTGTTCGTTGCCCCTGCCTCAGGAAGACGGTCATCCATGCTGCCTCTGTCATGCTGCCTGCTGGGTCAGGGACACCTATGACCCGGAGTCTTGCGGGATTTGTTCCCACTTGTGTTTCAGTATACTCATCTCTTATCTAATGATCGGGATCAGATGGCGGCTGCGTTGCATGCTCGGTTCTCCTTCTTGCAACGGGGCCAGATTGGTTGCCCAGTTGGAAGCCCCAGAACTGCCCCGCTTGGATTTGGAGGCGTTGGTCGCTTTGGCCTTGGTTACATCTGTGCCCCTGTGTCGGGTTTTCTACTTTGCTTTCCCGACTGCAATGCATACGTCACCAATGTGCATATGGCAGATGCTTCACGAAGCTGTCGAAATCCAGCAGAGAAAATATGAGAGCAAGCATACAGGGCCTGGGAGAAAGGTCGAGTTAGAGTCCTTGATGGTCTCTTCTCAGACTAGCCTCACCTGGTCCTTATCCATGTTGGTCGTTCGAATCTCCTCAATGCTTGAAACACTTTAAGGGACTCCAAGGGTTCTCATCACATTTATAGATTAGTGAATAATAGGCAACTCGGTGTTGAAGACACCTGGAGCTGAAGGCTTTAAGTAATAGCTGGCAGTATTCAGAAGTGGTTCAACGGAAACACCCCAGAAAGCTTAACAGTAGTTTACTGCATTTACAAACTTACCCACTAATACAATGGGTGCTTGATTTACTTTAGATTGCCATCAGAAAGGCTATGGTTGCATTAGCGAGACTCTTAACGTCTGACTAATCGATTCTGATCCACTCGTGGAGAAACACCTAACTTAACACAATTGACAGCTAATCATTAACACGGCAAACCTAACTGCCGGTGTGCAAAGGGTCACAGGAGTTCCAACAGGATACTCGGGTAATGATGATGCACAATAAATCACAATGGCACTATCAATGGGACAGGCAATAATCATGCACAATAATTGTCACACAATAACTAAATGTGTGGTGTATGTGAAGCTCACATTCACAGACAAGTGTAATGTTGTGATACTACACAGATAAACATGCATACACCGTCACGTGTCTCCACCTATACTTGGGGTCAGGTATGAGAAGGTGAGAACTGTGGTTGATCCCTCAGATCAACACACAGACACACAATAATAGAACACAAGATCTTGTACTTACAGGTAGGCTACCTCTCCCATTCACTCACTCATGCACATTTATGCAAGAACTCATAGGTGGCCTGACAGCTGGTTTCGCTCAATATGACGGGAGACACTGACGACAGGCTTTCCCAACAAACCGTACTTGACACGGAGGGTACTCGCAGGAGGGCGTGCTGTATGCCTAACAGACACACACACACACTTGATGGCACTGGTGGTGAGTAAGGTGGTGACGGATGGTGACATCATATAGTACAGTGAGGGCGGAGCAAGTGGCGGCAGCTGGCTACACGCTTGGGTCTGAGTGGCGGCTTGGCGGCGGCTTATTATATGGTACTATTCAGGTACACTGTGGTAAAAGTCACACACAGATTACTTAGGCGAGTAATTAGCACTTCTTTAGTTCACTCTAGGTCACTCACAGACGATCTCAATTTGTCACTAGGGGTTACCTGATACTAGTCTGTTTCAGTCTGGTGATTCACAGACTTTTCACTCTAGAAGATTTCTTAACAATAACTTCCCTTGGGAGTTATACAATAACTAACAATAACTCCCTCCCCTTGCCTCTCTGAGGGGGGGGGGGCCAGGTTCTGGCTCATGGTCCCCGGTAGGCCCATAGAACTCCATACACATGACTGATGCCAAAGTCTGACATTAGCACATCAGCCTGGATAAGGTCCTGGAAGCCTCCGGGTCTCATCCAGAAAATGGCGTTTCATTACATTCAACGCTGTTGTTTTTCTTCTATCTTCTAGTTTTGGCTTATTTAATGCCTCTAACCTCTCCTCGTAGCTGCTGTTGTTGTTAAAGACTCGCTACCTGGAACAAAAAGTTCCAAGTAGCACGGGCTATGGTGAGCCCGTAGTAGTGTTCTCCTCATAGCTCTTGTCCTTCTGTTCTGGGAGCCACTAAGTGGCATGTCTTTGGACCTTTTCCAGTTTGTTGATGTGCTTCCTAAGATATGGGCACCATACAACCGTTACATATTCCAGTTTTGGCCTACAAAAGTTATGGACATTTTCTTTAGTATTTCTCCATCCATGTATTTAAAAGCAATTCTGAAATTAGAACGTGTAGCATAGGCTCCTCACACAATGTTCTTATTGTGGTCCTCAGGTGATAGTTTTTTTTATCTAGAACCACCCCTAGATCTCTTTCTTTATCAGAATTCTTTAAAGATTTCTCACATAATTTATAGGTTGTGTGAGGTCTATGTTCTACTATTCCACATTCCATAACATGACATTTTATTCACATTAAATTCCATTTGCCAAGTGGTGCTCCATATACTTTTGTCCAGATCTTCTTGAAGGGTATGGCAACCATCTACGTTTCTTATCTTCCCTATTATCTTAGCATCATCATCAAACATGTTCACATAATTCTGTATTCCATCTGGTAGATCGTTAATGTAGACAATGAACATTACCGGTGCAAGAACTGAACCCTGTGGTATTCCACTTGTGATATTTCTCCAGTCCGATACATTGTCTCTGATTACTACCCTCATTTTTCTATCAGTTAGAAAATTTTTTATCCATGTTAGCTTACCTGTTTCACCTCCTATATGTTCCAGTTTCCAGAACAACCTCTTGTGTGGAACTCTGTCGAAAGCCTTTTCTGTAGGGGGGAGCCCCTACGGCTCCCCAGAGCTTATCCAGGCTGATATGCTAATGTCAGACTTTGACACCAGTCATGTGTATGGAGTTCTGTGGGCCTACCGGGGACCACAAGCCAGAACCTGACCTCCTCATAGAGGCATGGGGAGCAATGGCCTATAGAAACCCCTGTGTGGTTGGAAGCATTCTATGTCTGCCATTGACTGGGTCAGGCACCCAGAAATGTAAGCATCCCGAAACAAACCCCTATTCTGGTGAAAATATTGCTACCAAAAGCCGAACAAGTGGATAGAACTCCCCTAAAAGAAACGAGCAAACGAGCATGACGTCACACGTCGCCGCACCGCTGTCTGCGCAGCGCCCCCCTCCCTCGGAGGGGAAAGGGGGAGCCCCAGACCCTCTCGCCGGCCATCCACCCGAGTTCTAAGGTTGATGCTAGAGGCAGAGGCCCTGTGCTCTGGCTCCAGTTATTTTTCAGCACTGTGCTTTGCGTGTGGTGGCTGTTTTCCAGGGGTGCGAGAGCCAGGAGTCATTCTATAGTACTCGGGCTTTATGCGCTTTAGGGTTATCGTCTCTTGGTGCCCTGTAAGTACTGACCTTGGAGCTTGGGGTTGCCTTCCATAGGTTCCTCGGGTTCCTCCTTCCATGTCAGCTATCTAGGCTGATATATAACTATTAGCTTTCTGGCATTAGTCAAAGTGCATGGAGTTCTTGTCTACCGGGGACCACAAGCCAGAACCTGGCCCCCTCAAGAGAAGCAGGATCAGCAATGGCCTATAGAAACCCCCGTGTGGTTGGGAGAATTCTGTCTGCCATCGACTGGGTCTGGCATCCAGAAAGGTAGGCGCCCCAAAACAAACCCCCATTTTGGTGAAAATATTGCTACTGAAAGCCGAATGAGTGGACAGAATGCCCCAAATGAAAATTAGCAAATGAGCATGATGTCACCGGGTTGCTGCGTCGCTGTCTGCGCACCCCCCTCCTTCCCAGGAGGGAGAACGGGGAAACCCCAGACCCACACACCGGCGATCCAGCCGGCAGTTCTTAGGCTGGTTGTCAAAAACCCGTGAAAACACCACTGACCAGAGGGAGGGATGCCGGGAGCCTCTGGGTCTCACCCAGAAAATCGTGTTTCATTACATTCAACGCTGGTTTTCTGGGGGAAGCCCTATCAAAATTCGTGTCGATTAACAAGCTTCCGCTTGGTTAACGAGAATACCACTAGGTGCTTCCTTGCATTCCCGCTGGTTCTAGTACGCCATCGACAACAGTGTCGTTGTTGTTTCGTAAGACAAGCGTTTCACACGACGAGCTCGGTGCTGGAAAAGATTAAATTCGTTAACCGAGGCACCACTGGTATTGTCTTCCCCTTATGGTGTAGTTAAATACAGGTCTCCTATGTTCCTTACCCATTTTCATTACTCAATACAGTACTTATTTGGGATCGAATTCCAGCAGACATTTATTTTCCCACTGCTCAAGTTTGTCAAGGTTTTCTTGCAGCTCCCTTTAAAAAGAGCAATGGCCCTAGTAGAGCTCTGTGGGACACCACTTTTCACTCCTATCTAGCCTGACATATCCTCTGTCTGTGACCTTTTGCTTCCTGTCTGTCAAGTACTCCTGTACCCAGTCTAATGCCTTACCTGTTATCTCTGCTTGTCTCTCCATCTTGCATATTATTCTCTTGTGTATCAAAAACTTTTTGGAAGTCCTATTAACCCATACAAGATGGCTATGTTTTACTAAAAGTGAGGCAGCTGAAGGCAACAAAAATAACTTTGTCTATTTAAACCCAAACAAAGTCATTCACCTGAAATCATAAGAGTGAAGGAACCTGTATAAGGCCTACTGGCCCTTATGAGTAAGCAATTATCGAAAGAACGAGCCAAGATCAGGGCAGTGTTCCACTAAATGTCCATGAATTAAGCGTGTATGGCCAATTCGTGACCTAGCCAAAGCCGTTTCCCAGTTTCTATTACAGTGGTAGGAGGAAGTACAAGGGAAATTGCTACTTTTGAGTGCATGTAATTTGTTACCTGTAACCTCAGACCAGCGACCTTGCCAGCAATTTTGGATTGAAGAATGAATGACTGGGTAGGAGTCTGAATATGGAATGCTTTTTTTGGAAATAAGGCAAGTGTGGAGAGCCCCCTTAGAATGTCTGCACATTCATTTAAGATAATATTAATATGGCTGGGAACTTAGCAAAACTCTACTGTCTTAAATCTGCTAGAGATAAAAATAGCCAATGTTGAATTTTGACTTCTACAGGATGCCTATGGTTAAATGACTCCAGGACCATGAGGACACTGTGGGGGTCAACCATAATGGCGGAGAAATGTTGACATTGGGAAAGCAGTTGACAAAGTGCATACAAGATTGCATAAAATTCAGCCGTAATATGCTAGTTTCGGGAGCCAGGCGGCACGTATAGGCTTGGTCAGGAAAGACTCAGGAGGCAGCTGCACTTCATCGGCACTCTATTTATTATGATAAAAAAGACCTCTCATTAGGAGGTTTATTTACTTAAATAATATAGCAGGTATCAGTATGTTGTAATAATTTGGTTAAATTTTGTGTGTAGCTGTGGACGGGACAACATGACACTACCTCTAGGAGGACCTTCTATGGATCAGTGGTACCTGCTGGAGTGCCACTTTGGTCTACCTCTCTTTGACGCTTCCCTCAACCAGCAGGTCTCAAACAAAATTATATCTCACAAGCTCTTCAGTTCAGAAAGGTTGGTATTACTAGTAAAACGAATATCTAACATAATATCATTTGAAATTGCCAGAAGAGTGACAGGAGATCGAGCACAAATGAGGGTACTTTCCAAGTTAGGGAGTGAGTAAACTGCTTGCAACGGCAGTAGAGAGTTGTACAATGCTACGTGTAGTATTCACCACCAGACAAGTTTATAGTCACAGCCATTAAGACAAAGATTACATATTTTTTCATTGTTAACAGAAAAATCAAATAAAGTTCCAGAATTGCCAGGATATATCATATTTATGCATTATTTCATCACTTTCCTAGCAATTTAATTTACTATTTTTCATTTGTACCCAATGTTTTGTTAGGTTTCAGGCATTGGGCCTGGTACTGGAAGATGGGAGTAAAATGCTAGAAGGTAAATGGGTAATTCATTGATAGCCCTTGTGAGGAAGGGTGAGGTGCGGGTGAGGATCAGCCAGGCTGTGGTGGGTATGTGGGCCTGCGGGCCACTCCAAGCAACAGCCTGGTGGACCTAACTCTCACAAGTCGAGCCTGGCCTCGGGCCGGGCTTGGGGAGTAGAAGAACTCCCAGAACCCCATCAACCAGGTATCAAGCAGGTGCATACAGAATGAGATGCACCTAGAGGGCTTCAGGCAGGGGTGATCAAAAGTCGAGAGCTGTTGGAATGAACCGAGATACATTGGTGGTATTAGGATAGAATAAGGAAAGAAAATGTCAGTGTAGTGTAATGTGGTAGATATGGTGAATGAATGAATGGGGCTCTCTCTTGGTTCTCTGTTTAGTTGTTTTTCCTATTTGCACTTCTATCTTTTTTTTTTTTTTTATATAGAGGTGCCTCCCCACCCTATGAGTGGGAAACAAGGTAGTGATGATGATGTGGATGGTTTACCCATAATGCAGTAAACCATTTGTAGTTGTTAAACATGATTTTTTTTTTCCAGTGTCGAGAAGTTCAGCGAATCAAACAGGATTCTTGTTCACAAATTAAGGGAGTTCATCAGTGGTAATAAGGTGAGGATTTATGAACTGTATACCTAATCTTGTTTGTAAATTAAACAATTCTAATCTCTCATTATGTTTCATTGTTCTTATCATTATGTATATCTAAAATTATTCCTTACATTATATAAGATACTCATTTTCATTTCTTGTTGCAAAGGCAACATATTCCACTAGCACATCATCCAGACTGACTGTCCTCAACCACTCCTGTCATCCAGACTGACTGTCCTCAGCCACTTCTGTCATCCAGACTGACTGTCCTCAGCCACTCCTGTCATCCAGACTGACTGTCCTCTGTGACTCCTGTCATCCAGACTGACTGTCCTCAACCACTCCTGTCATCCAGACTGACTGTCCTCTGTGACTCCTGTCATCCAGACTGACTGTCCTCTGTGACTTCTGTCATCCAGACTGACTGTCCTCTGTGACTCCTGTCATCCAGACTGACTGTCCTCTGTGACTTCTGTCATCCAGACTGACTGTCCTCTGTGACTCCTATCATCCAGACTGACTGTCTTCGGTGACTCCTGTCATCCAGACTGACTGTCCTCTGTGACTCCTGTCATCCAGACTGACTGTCCTCGGTGACTCCTGTCATCCAGACTGACTGTCCTCTGTGACTTCTGTCATCCAGACTGACTGTCCTCTGTGACTCCTATCATCCAGACTGACTGTCTTCGGTGACTCCTGTCATCCAGACTGACTGTCCTCTGTGACTCCTGTCATCCAGACTGACTGTCCTCTGTGACTTCTGTCATCCAGACTGACTGTCCTCTGTGACTCCTGTCATCCAGACTGACTGTCCTCTGTGACTTCTGTCATCCAGACTGACTGTCCTCTGTGACTCCTATCATCCAGACTGACTGTCTTCGGTGACTCCTGTCATCCAGACTGACTGTCCTCTGTGACTCCTGTCATCCAGACTGACTGTCCTCGGTGACTCCTGTCATCCAGACTGACTGTCCTCTGTGACTTCTGTCATCCAGACTGACTGTCCTCTGTGACTCCTATCATCCAGACTGACTGTCTTCGGTGACTCCTGTCATCCAGACTGACTGTCCTCGGTGACTCCTGTCATCCAGACTGACTGTCCTCGGTGACTCCTGTCATCCAGACTGACTGTACCCGGTGACTCCTGTCATCCAGACTGACTGTACTTTACTTGGTTACCTTAAAACTGCCATAATCATCATTTAACCATCACCAATTTTGTTTTCCCTGCACATTCCTACATGTTGTTATTCATGGTTACTTCTAATAATACTGTATTTTAGCAGCTTCTTATATTTTATTTCAGAAGGAGAATTTGTGTAGTTAAATAATGATGACCCTATTTTGCTGTGGGGGAGCCTGTCGGCTCCCTGGAGCTATCGGACTGATATTAGCTATACTGTATTTGTCTAGGGCTTCAGTCACCTGGAGTTCTGCCTACTGGGAACCACGAACCAGAACCTGGTTTCCTCAGAGAAGCACAGGGAGCAAGGCCTAAGAAAACTCCACTCTTGAGAGTAGTATCCACTCGATTTAATGGCCTATATGGGGCTGTACCCTGGTCGTTATTTCCGGAGCTCCGGTATTTCCGAAGTTAAGTGTCGGTAATTTTTCAAGTAACATTCAGGTAAGATATATTTTGTACAGACAGCCACTTGGTCCACAACTAGTGCCTTCTACCCTGTGATGTCACATATTCACAGCACATTGTTTTGATTTGTCAAGAGGCTGGAGTGACTTTTCTGTGACTTTGTTGAACATACTGGTATCTGCACAATCAAGGAACATCCGTGCACCATGTCGGTTCCAAATGCACTCATTGTGTCAGTGATGGCTGACTGGTGGGTGGATGGATGGGCAGACAGACAGGAATGGAGAGGCTGAAATGTAGGCAGGCAGGCAGGAAGAGGCTGGGAGGTAGGCAGGGAGGGAGAGGCAGGCAGGCAGGCAGAGGCTGGGAGGTAGGCAGGGAGGGAGAGGATAGAGATGGATGGAAGGATGGAGGAATGGATGGATGAATTGATGGATGGAGGGATGGATGGAAGGATAGAGGGATGGGTGGATGGAGGGAGGGATGGGTGTTGAGTTGAGGTGAAGCAGAGAGCATGTGTATGGGATGTATGGGGGGGGAGGGGTGTCGGTGGTGGGGAAAGGACCGACTCTGATGAGCCTAACACACTTGACCCAGTTAACCAGATTTGTTTCTAAAATTCTGGATGTACATCATTATTTATATTTTTGGTTACAGATTTTGTTTAGTAATATTACAGTATTAGGATAATAAAAAGTTATAAAATACTTTGTTTCATGAATGCTTAATTGTATTAGGTGGAGATTCTCCAGGGCTGTCTGGCTGACTGGCAATCTACTGAGCCATTTCCCAGAAGGGTCTTGGGGGGGGGGGCAAGAAGTGAGGGTGTGGGGGAGAGGTGCAGTGAGGGAGAGGGAGGCGATGATAGAGGGAGGCAGCCTGCTTGCCATGTGAGGACCTCCTGATGCCAAAACAAACCTAATATCGACCGCCAGACCGTTATATGAGGCTCTAGATACCGGTCTCCCAAACCATTCGTTATTACCGGCAGATCGGTATAAAAGAGGCCGTTAAATTGAGTGAATACTTATATTCATGTCTGCCATCGATTGGGGTTAGGCACCCAGAAAGGTAGGCACCCAAAAGCAGATCCCAACTGGTAGAAAATTGCAATTCAAGACTGAACAGTGTCCAAGAGCCCCCCTCCCAAGAAAAACAAGGCAACAAGCAAATCATCATCAACCAACACCCCACCCCCCCATCCCCCTGAGGAAGCTGAAACTGTATGAGCCCATGCTCTGTGAGGCAGTGTCTCTGTTTTGGCTCTTGCCTTGCATGTTGGCAGGCAATCCTTGCTCTCTTTTGATTTCACTCGAGCCCTGGCTCTTACATTTTCGTCTACTTTCTACCCGTTCTTGTTCTTGGACGTGGTTGTTTCTCAGTTTTTACAGGCGACTTCTGCTTGTTGCTATCCTCTTCCTGATTTGTTGGTGTTATGGAGTGGGCATTCTCATGCTTCTCGGAGAGGTTGCGCCAGGGCTCAGGCTCCTGCTGGTTGAGGTGGGCCGCTTGGTGCCCGCTTCTGTGCCAGTGCCTCCTACTGAGCTGTCTCCGTCTGTTTGGCACCGTGGTCTCTCTGTACATATGTCGGCTTCTTGGATGGGGCACCAATCCTTTTGTTGTCGCCCCGTTGGCGGGGGGGGGGGGGGGAGGCTGGCTCTGTTTGCCCCCCACGATTTGTGGGTGTTTCAGGTTGTGTCCTCTAGCCTGTGGTGACGGTGGGCGGCGGCTCCTCCTCTCACAGGTTCAGGGCTGGTGGGGCAGGCTTCTTTCCCCTCACTCTGTCGGGTCATCTTGGAGTGGGTGTGTTTTGGGTGTGGTCGAACCGACCTCGTCCCTCAAGTGGGTTTCTCGCTTGTTACCAGTAATGGGACTGTGTGGATCTTCGATTCATTCTGGACTTGTCCCATATGAACCGCTGAATTCTTTGCTCCTCCTTTCGGATGACCACTTTGTCCCAGATATGGCTTCACTTGGTACCAGGTTCTTGGATGGTGTTTCTGGACCTCCGGGATGCATATTGGCACGTCCCCCTTCAACCGGGGTTCAGAGACTGGTTAGGTTTTGTGGTGGAGCAGCAGGCTTACTGCTTTCATTGCCTTCCTTTTGGATGGCAATCATTTTCCTTCATCCTTTTGGATGAATCTGGCACCACACATTTTCACACATCTTACCAGGGTTGTGGTGGCCCGTCTGCATCTGCTAGGTGTACGGGTATTGGCCTACCTCGATGACTGGTTGGTATGGGCTCCCAGCCAGTCTGCTTGTCTACTTGCCAGGAATTTGGTTCTTTCCCAGCTCGCCGGGTTTGGGTTTCTGGTGAACTGTGGTGAACTGGAGGAAGTCCCATTTGGTTCCGTCCCCAAGTCAAACTTGGCTGAGCCTTGTTTGGGATTATGGGACAGTGTCTGTGTGTCTCCCTCCTGTGGCATTGCTCCAGCTGCAGTCCCACCTTTGGCTGTTCCTGAGGGGGTCCCGGGTCACTCGGCAGTTGCCTGAGCAGCTGTTCGGGAGTTTGAACTTCGCCGTGCTGGTTTACCTGCTGGGTCAGGTTTGGCTTCGGCATCTGTTCTCGTTCCTTCGGGGCCTTTCCCTTCCACCACTCTCGTGATCACTGGGTTTGTCCTCCAGGGGCCTTGTGTCAGTTGCTGCGTCTCCGGCTTCCTCTTTGGGTTTTTCGGGATTCGGTGCCTTGGCGCCTTCCGGAACCCTTGCTTTATGTGTTCACAGACTCCTCGTCTCTTGGCTGGATCTTTGTGACCAGTGCTCACCAAGTCGGCCAGGGTGGGGGGATGGGCTCCGTTGGTCTCACGGCACAGTACGGGAGTTTGCAGCGGTGTGGCTTTTGCTGTAGCGGATTTGGCTTGCTCGAGGCTCTATGATCCGTCTCCATTCAGCCTCCACCCCAGTGCTTCATTGACTGTACTGCTGGGGGTCTTCAGTCCTTGGCTCTTTGGGGCTGGTCACTTCGAGTGGCTTTTCTGCCGAGTTCAAGGAGATTTAGCTCTCCGTGCAGTTCACATCAGGGTGGTGTCCAATGTCCTGGTGGACAGCCTGTCTCGGTTCATTCCTCTGTCCACAGAATGGACGGTCGATACTGGCTCCTTCAGTTAGCTTTGTCAGACATTCAGGCCCTCTGGAGTGGACCTCCTTCAGTTAGCTTTGTTAGACACTCAGGCCCTCTGGAATGGACCTCTTAGCGTCGGTGTAGTCACAGCGTCTCTCCGTGTATGTGGTGCCTTCACAGTAGACGCTTTTTGGCAGGACTGGTCGAGGTGGGAGTGCCTGTACCTCTTTCCCCAGGTGCAGCTGTTGTCTCGGGTTCTGGCTTGGCTGGAGTCCTATTGGGGGGGGGAGGGTTCTTATTCTGGCCCCAGGGTGGCCGGCCCAGCCTTGGTTTCAGTCACTGCTTGCTCAGTGTCCAAACCTGAGGCATTTTCTGCAGTTCTGCCTCTTTCAGCAGATTGGGCTGGTGAGGTACCTTGCTCCTTCGGTCTTATCTTCCGCTCTTCGCGTCTGGTATTTTTGACGCATGTGTATCGCCATTTGTATGGTGATCAGGTGGCTTCTCTCATGGTGTCCCACCTGTGTTCTTCTCGGCGACAGTATGAAGTCTCTTGGTGTTCCTTTCGCCACTTCCTTTCTCTTCGTAGGTTGCCTTCGGTTTCTGTTCATGTATTCTTGTCTTTCCTTTCTTGGTTGTTTCAAGACTGACATCTTATGCCGAATACTGTCGCCTCTTCTCATGCAACTCTGGCAGAGCCACTCCAGTTTACGTTTGGGGTGGATGTCACTTCAGCTCCATTCTATAAGCTTTCCCGTGCATTTTACCACCTCCAGCCTGCTCATGTGCCGCCTGAGTTGTCCTGGTCTTTGGAACGGGTGCTCTCTTTTTCTCTTCTCCACGGTTGTTTTCAGAAGGCTTTGTTTCTGTTGGCATTGGCCTCTTAGGTTTGGGTCTGTGAGCTTCCTGCTCTCCTTCGACACAGGAGGTTCCTGCTCTTTTGGTCCTGGTGGACATTTTGTTTGTTTGCAGCTGTCTACTTCTTTTGTGGCAAAGATTGGGACGGCAGGCTTCCGGAGGTTGGTTGGTCAGGCCGGGGCTGCGTCATGTTTTGTGTCCGGTTGCGGCTCTCCGACGTTACCTGCGTGCTTCGGGTTCTGTGTCCCTGGACGCACTTTGGGTTGATCCATTTCTTTCATTCCCTGTTCCAGGGCTCAGGTCTATCAAGTCGTCTGCAGGATTATCAGGTCTAGCCAGCCTTCGGTCTTCCCTTGTGCCTTTGATGTTCAGAAGCTTGTGGTTCTTGCTGCTGTCTTTAGGAACATGTTTTGGGATGCCATTCAGGCATGGGGGTTTTGGAGGTAGAACTTGGTCCTGACCGCCCATTCTCTAGTGAACGTTCCGGGGCCTCAGTGGTCTTGTGTGGCCTTGGACTGTCGGTTGCAGCCTGTTGTCCTGTTTTCGTCATGTGGCATGTGGTGCTGTCACCTCCCGGGTGTGTCCCTCTTTTACATATTTTGGGTATCTAGCTCCACACAGAAAACCAGCATTGGATGTAATAAAATGCCATTTTCTGGGTAAGCCCCGGAGGCTCCCTGGCACCTTGCCTCCCCCCCTCTGGTCAGCGGCTTTTCTTCTGTTTGCTCAGTCTCCGAACTGGTGAGCAGGCGGCCAGCTCAAGTGGACGAGGCCGCTCCCTCCCGGGAAGTGGAGGGAAGGGACGAACGAGCGGCTCGTCGGTTTGATGACGATTTGCTTGTTACTTTGTTTTTCTTGGGGGGAATTCTTGGGGTCTGTTCGGTCTTGGGTTGCAATTTTCTACCAGTTGGGGTCTGTTTTGGGGTGCCTACCTTGAGGTTATCTTGAGATGATTTCGGGGCTTTTTAGTCTCCTCGCGGCCCGGTCCTCAACCAGGCCTCCACCCTCAGGAAGCAGCCCGTGACAGCTGACTAACGCCCAGGTACCTATTTTACTGCTAGGTAACAGGGGCATAGGGTGAAAGAAACTCTGCCCATTGTTTCTCGCCGGCGCCTGGGATCGAACCCAGAACCACAGGATCACAAGTCCAGCGTGCTGTCCGCTTGGCACCCTTTCTGGGTGCCTAACCTCGGTTGATGGCAGACATGAATATACACTCAAAGAGTGTAGTTTTCATAAGCCATTGCTCCCTGCGCCTCTGAGGGAGCCAGGTTCTGGCTCGTGGTTCTCGGTAGGCTCCATGTGACTTGAAGCCCCAGACTAATATAGCTAATATCAGTCTGATAGCTCCAAGAAGCCTCTGGAGCTCACCCAGAAAATGGTGTTTCATTATATTCAACACTGGGTTTTTTTTCAGCATATTGTGCATTGTTTGTTGTAATATATATTATGTTTTGAATAAATGCTAATAGTGTTGTATCACCTCAGGCCCAAGGAGTGTGTGCTGAGGTTCAGCAGCGTGGTGGGTGTCGGGAAGGTGCATCCAACCTGCCCCTTCCCACCACACCTTTGCTATTTGCTGAGGGACGACTCAACCCATGGGAGGGATCCTGATAACTCCTTGGCTTTACATTCCTCGTATAAACTGGTGTGATCAAATGTAAACATAGGCACGTTATGGTAAAGGTTTAGTGCTTTTTAAATTGCAACTTTCTGAAAATGTTTTATTTCAGTTTGCAACTTAAACTGAAAATACTAATACTTGGGATAAAAAGGGGAATGAAGCATTTTGTCACATCTTGTGAGAATGTTGGTAAAATGCACTTTATATAATAATACAAAATGTAAGCAAATAATTAGAAAGAGGCAAACATTAGTGTCTAAATAATTAATGATTTTTAAGAACTCAAACTTATTTAATAATGAACTTTTGTGAAGTTGAAATTATAAAATAAAAGAATGCCATAATATTTTATGGTATATAACTAATTTTTTAGTTTATCAGTGAGACAATAGTGCAAACCCCTAATAGTGTTAGGTTAAATATTGGTATGATATTGAAGACTTGTATAGACTAGAGAGTGAAGGCAAGTGTGATGCATAGTGTTAAATAATAATAAATTCATCATGATGAGTTTGAATATTGTGTACTGTACTATATCCCTGTACAGTGCTCTATATATATTTTCATGATTTACGCACTACTTAAAAATAGAATGATTTTTCTAACTTTGTGGTTTATTAAATTTGTATACGTCCTTCCACAATGCAAATTTTTAACTCTGTCCACTGATCATGAGGAATGATTCTACTCCGAAGCTTTAAAATTTTCAATTGGGATGATAAACCTGTGATGTTAGCTAGTCCACATATTCTCTACAACACATTTAGGCCTACGTATACATGCTATTCATAACTGTGACAGAATCCTGGCACATTCTGAAAATATGTTCACACACAATTTTCATCTATTTTTCCACATTGATACATATACATAATCTACTTTCTGGGAGGCGCCCCTGATTAGCTGCCTAATGCTACAACCTGGCAATGAGCAAGCCTTGGAGAACACACCAGGCCGCTAGACTCGCAAGTGTCAACTCGCTACCACGACCAGAATCTGGACTGTTCAGGGGGAAAGCCGGAAGATGAGAAATTACCACAGCAACCATGAAAAACTCTACCAGAAAGTCAAAACACTCAAGTAATTGCTGGACAAATTTGTAACCCTGGCAAAAATAGAGACAATAATTATTTCCACGGGATAAGTCCTGCTGCTGAAGCGACCAGAGTCTTGGCCAGTCCATTCACAATACGACTGGAAAAAAAAAATCAAACCCAGTAAGGCAGCCTAAGAAGAAGTCTACAGAGAAGGAAACCTGAACCCCACTGAATAGTTAGCTCTAGTCAAGAAGGGTATATGGCAACAGTCACTATGAGAAACAACCCTGGGCATAGTTTGAGCTGCAAGCTGGCGCAAACCCCGTTATTAGGCCTAGCAGAGGAGTAAAAAGGAAAATCTGCACTGCCCAAAATGGCAAAAAGACTTGAGGAGGAACCCCCAAACCCTCAATGAGAAGTTACCCTGGTGAGGCAAGGGCAAATGCATGTCATTGAAGAAAGATAACCTGACTGGACGGCTTTAGCAAAATCTGAACATTAGGACATGGACTGTGGGTGGCGGACACACACAATGCTACAAAATAAAAACAAAAACAAAGTAATGACCCTGCACAGAACTAAACATTTAAGGAGTGGCTAACACCACCTATCTTAACCACTGTACTGCGCAGAGTGCTCTAAGGCGCTCCTGAGAGTTGTGCTTTTTTTTTTCTTAATTAGGCTATATTTTAATGTTTTTTAATGTTTTCATCACTCTTTGTGATTTGAATGAAAATGGTTGAATTTGGAAACATTTTGATAGTAACTTTATCTGAACATTTAATAATTGCACTATGAAGATTTGCCGAAACCAGGCGCGCAGTGCGGTGGTTAAAGAAGAAGGATAATTGTGGATCCAGGAACAAGGTGTGTGTCTCCATCTCGGTTGTCCCTGGGTTTTGTGACCTGTTGTCCTCGGACTGTGTCTGGCATTTTTTTTCTGGTTGTCCCCCCCAGGCTTTCCCTTGTCTCTTTAAGTAGTCCAGATTCTGGTGCCAGTAGACACTCATGGGTCTAGTGGCCTGGTCTAGTCTCCAAGACTTGGTCATTGCCAGGTTGTAGCACATGGATGGAGCTAATGAGGGGACCCTCCCAGAAAGAAATGTTTCATTATCTTCTACACTGGATTTTTTTATACTGGATTTTTATATATTTAGAGCACACTATACATTTATTCATACTTTTACACAAATTTCACCATAAAATTAAGAAGACTTTACTGTATGATCATTTGTTAAATCCCCCTTCAAGGCGATTGTTAAAGATACGTCTTGCAGTAGTTTTTTATGGTAAAATTTGTGTTGTGTGAAACACAAAACCATGTTCATTCTACTGATTCATATGTAGTACTGTATTTACAGACAAATTTAAACCTCAATTTCATGTCACCTCTATCACACATTTACAATCAGGCTTAATATAAACAAGAAAAAGACTCTTCCAGGTTTTCGATGTTTCATGCATTTCCGTCCATTATGGCAAACATGTTAATCCTTGTACTGTGCATTCTTACATTCTGTCATCTGTTTATCCTTGGGAGTGGATATTACCTAATGTTTCTTTCAAAGATGAGTTTTTCCCTTCAGGAAATATATATTTCCTCCTTTAAAATAGTTGCATTAGGAATTAAATAATTGAAAGATATGAAACTAATCCTTTGTGCGCTGGAAGAGTTATATGTGTGTTCACTAACAGTGTGTGTATATATATACACTGGTGGAGCACACATGATCACTAAGTGTGTGTGTGTGTGTGTGTGTGTGTGTGTGTGTGTGTGTGTGTGTGTGTGTGTGTGTGTGTAATTACCTAAGTAATTACCTAAGTGTAGTTACAGGATGAGAGCTACGCTCGTGGTGTCCCGTCTTCCCAGCACTCTTTGTCATATAACGCTTTGAAACTACTGACGGTCTTGGCCTCCACCACCTTCTCACTTAACTTGTTCCAACCGTCTACCACTCTATTTGCGAAGGTGAATTTTCTTATATTTCTTCGGCATCTGTGTTTAGCTAGTTTAAATCTATGACCTCTTGTTCTTGAAATTCCAGGTCTCAGGAAGTCTTCCCTGTCGATTTTATCAATTCCTGTTACTATTTTGTATGTAGTGATCATATCACCTCTTTTTCTTCTGTCTTCTAGTTTTGGCATATTTAATGCTTCTAACCTCTCCTCGTAGCTCTTGCCCTTCAGTTCTGGGAGCCACTTAGTAGCATGTCTTTGCACCTTTTCCAGTTTGTTGATGTGCTTCTTAAGATATGGGCACCACACAACAGCTGCATATTCTAGCTTTGGCCTAACAAAAGTCATGAACAATTTCTTTAGTATATCACCATCCATGTATTTAAATGCAATTCTGAAGTTAGAAAGCATAGCATAGGCTCCTTGCTCAATATTCTTTATGTGGTCCTCAGGTGATAGTTTTCTATCTAGAACCACTCCTAGATCTCTTTCTTTATCAGAATTCTTTAAAGATTTCTCACATAATATATAGGTTGTGTGGGGTCTATGTTCTCCTATTCCACATTCCATAACATGACATTTATTAACATTAAATTCCATTTGCCAAGTGGTGCTCCATATACTTATTTTGTCCAGGTCTTCTTGAAGGGCATGACAGTCATCTAAATTTCTTATCCTTCCTATTATCTTAGCATCATCAGCAAACATGTTCATATAATTCTGTATACCAACTGGTAGATCATTTATGTACACAATAAACATCACTGGTGCAAGAACTGAACCCTGTGGTACTCCACTTGTGACATTTCTCCATTCCGATACATTGCCTCTGATTACTGCCCTCATTTTTCTATCAGTCAGAAAATTTTTCATCCATGATAGAAGCTTACCTGTCAACCATCCAATATTTTCCAGTTTCCAGAACAACCTCTTATGTGGAACTCTGTCGAAAGCCTTTTTTAGGTCCAGATAGATGCAGAATGTTTGTGTGCCTTCCTCGTATAGTTTTAAAAATTTGGCATACATTTCATTTACTTCCCTACCTAGCAACAATTCTGTCCAATTACACTCATTAAAAAAATTTCGAAGTTCCCCATAGTTGCCTCTCCTTAAATCGAGTTTATCAACTGTTTCAATGTCCCCATTTTCTTCTAGATGATATCTTAAAGCATATTTAATGTCTAACAGGACGTGATCACTCTTTCCCAAGGGAGGAAGGTACTGGATGTCAAAAATCTCTTCTTCTTTCCTGGTGAATACTAGATCCAGTACTGACGGTACATCTCCTTCCCTCATTCTTGTGGCTTGCTTTATGTGTTGATACAAGAATGTCTCCAGAATGAGGTTCACAAATCTGCATGTCCAAAAGTCCTCCGTTCTTGCTTCATAGGCCTCCCAGTCTATTGCTCTAAAGTTGAAGTCCCCCAGTATCAACAGTCGTGATTTATCTTTATCTGCTTGTACAATAATATCTCTCATGACCATTATGAGGCCCTCTCGTTTGTCATCCAGTTCTTCCTTTGTCCAAGTGTTGCTTGCTGGTGGGCTGTAGGTATTTACAATTATCAGCTTATCATCCTAATTCCAGACCTGCAATGCCATTATGTCAATATCTCGAGGGTTTTCAAATATTAACTCTTTTTACCTTCAAGTGTTTTTTCACCAGTACAGCCACTCCTCCCTTCCTAGTTTTCATGTCACGTCTCCAAACTGAGTAGCCTCTTGGGAATATGACTTCATTTATTATATTTCCTTCAAGTTTCGTCTCTGATAATGCAACAATATCTGGGACCCTAAGCTGGATTATATCTTGCAACTCCAAAGTTTTTGACCTCACTCCATCTATGTTGGTATATACAATTTTCAGGAACATGTTCCCTTTTCCTTTGCTCTTTACTCCCCCTTCCACTACTGATCTTGTTGCTTTGTTTTTATGTACCATTTCACAAGCTTTCCAGTCCCTGTCACTTTGTAAAAAAAAGAATTTCTGTCTTCTTCATTTCTATCCCCATTTAGACGTTTTGCCTCAATTAGGTTCATTTTCAGCTTTTCTCTGTCTTCCTTGGAGAGGTCTTGTCTTATTGACCATAATTTGCCAACCTCATCACTCTGCAGTTTCCTGGCATTTCTTAGCACTTCCATCATGTTTTTCACTCCATTAAACGTCACCCTTAAGGGGCGGTTCTTTTCTTTCTCATATTTTCCTATTCTTCTAAAATTACAGACATTTTCCTTTGAGCCTTCTCCTAAACCTACTATTTTCTCTATGATTTTCATCTCTTCTGCCGCTCGGTCCACCCTAGATGGAATTTCCTTCTCTAAACATCCAAAAATGATTATGGACTTAGTTCTATCTGCAGTGTTTTGTACCAGTTTACTGTTGGTAACCAGTTCTTTCCTAATTGCTTGCCTAATTTCTGCTTCTTGTTGGTCATTTCTGGTTTTGACTTCCGAACACACTTCTTTGATACTCTCTCTCTCTTTTACAACTTCAGCATATGTCGCTTTTATTTCTTCTTTATACTTTTCTAGTTCTTTATTCACCTCCTCTATGTGAGTTGTCAGTGAAGTTTCCAGTTGGAGATCCTTACCTAACTCTATGTTAGCCCTTAGGCTTGCTTGGAGTTGTTCACCATATGAGTCTATCTTCTTGTTTATTTCTTCAAAGTCACCACACTTCACTTTCCATGCCTCATTTTCTTTCACTAGTTCCTTGATTTGCTCCTCCTGATTTGTTACCTTGTCTGTTAATGCAGTAATAATCTTACCTTGTTGAAGCATACTCCCTTTTAGAGTGCAAAGCTCACTCCAAAGAGCTCCATTGTCCTCTTCCAATTTAAGCACTTTTTCTTCATACTTCTTTTGCATATCCTCAATTATCTCTAACCTGCCAAGAACACCTCCTTTCCTTATATCTTGTGGTGAGAATCCTTTGAAACCATCATCTGTTGGTGTGTCTACATTCTCAGTGGGGGTGGTGGCGGCGGTCATCTTTGTTTCTTGTTCTAGACCAAAACAAACTTTTCCACTCTGCTATTTTCACTCACTTTTACTTGTTTATTGTATTTTATTTGCTTTTACTCTTCCCTGAACCTTTATGTAACCTGGGACACCACTGTAGCCCTCAACCTGTGCCCAATACTTAGGTAATTCGATATTTCCAGGAGCTTGCTGCAGTGTGACTCCTGCCTCCTCCAGCTTATACACACACACCTGTGTGTGTGTGTGTCTGTGTGTCTGTGTGTGTGTGTGTGTGTTTATATATATATATATATATATATATATATATATATATATATATATATATATATATATATATGTCGTACCTAGTAGCCAGAACTCACTTTTTGACCTACTATTCAAGGCCCGATTTGCCTAATAAGCCAAGTTTTCCTGAATCAATATATTTTTTCTAATTTTTTTCTTATGAAATGATAAAGCTACCCATTTCATTATGTATGAGGTAAATTTTTTTTTTATTGGAGTTAAAATTAACGTAGATATATGACCGAACCTAACCAACCCTACCTAACCTAACCTAACCTATCTTTATAGGTTAGGTTTGGTTAGGTAGCCGAAAAAGTTAGGTTAGGTTAGGTTAGGTAGGTTAGGTAGTCGAAAAACAATGAATTCATGAAAACTTGGCTTATTAGGCAAATTGGGCCTTGCATATTAGGCCGAGAAGTGCGTTCTGGCTACTAGGTACGACATATATATAAAATATATATATATATATATATATATATATATATATATTATAAAATACACACACACACTGGTGAGGCACACATGTTCACTAACAATGTGTGTGTGTGTATATATATACAGTACACTGGTGGTGCACATACCAAACACCAGTGGTGTACGTAATGCATACTGGTGATGCACAGTGTACATGTACAGTTAAATATTGGTAGTGCACTCTAGTGCTATCAAAGTACCAGTCAAAAAGAGCTGAGCAAGTGGCAATCAATTTCAGGTATACTGTATAATGTTTAATATTGTGACTATAATTGACTTTGATATCAAATAAACTTGGTAACATAATGAAGGTAATGTACTGGGGGAAACTTTCGAGAGTACGAGTGAACAGTTTCATTTTCTCCCAAGTTTTTTTTTTTTTTTTTTTTTTTTTTTTTACAAATCTTTGAGACATGATGTATAATTGACTACAGGAGTGTGTGTTATTGTTGAATGATGTATGCAGTGGAGTATGTATTACATATCAATAAGCACTCTGTGGCTTACCCTGAATGAAACATTGTTGTATTACTAGGGCAGCCAGCTGTTTTGGCTGTGTCGCCTCCCTTACACATCCTTCTCTGTAATTTCTATACATACTTTCAAATCCGTAATTACTGTTTTTGCTTATTTATGCCTCATGTTTAATATAATTTTTAATTATATTTATATTGTACTCTGAATTAAAGTGCAGTGAACAACAAAGAAAAACTTATTATGTTATAAAGTTTATTGTGCTATTAATTTGTTTAGATAACTGGTATGAACTATAAAGTTGCTGACCATCGGGAAGACAAGAGTTGCGGGAGTTTGTAGTCATCATTAAGGTCGAGGTAAGTACTTGACAGTAGCAGCAGCAGTGTTTGTGGCATTGAGCACAAATAAGGAGTTACGGGGGAGCTCACAACTCTTAATAGAAATGAGTATTTTCCGTTGAAGCTATGCAAAGGGAAGAGGGTCGGGATGGGAGGGATTATACAGTACAAACTGCTGTGTGGAGAAATGGAAACGGTTAGGTTTAGACATCATACCAAAGTAACCTCTTTCTTGACAGGATGCATCACATTAGTGAAAGATTGCACAATTGATCGTTAAACAGCTTGAT